ACTCCTCAAGAGTATTTTTATTCATTACACACTGTTGCACGAAGTGCTAACGCAAACACGTGGTTCTTGCCTGCGGTCAGCTTAGTGCCCTATGACGCGGTATGGCGCAGTTGTATTTTCATGTTGAAAACGTGACCTGGAGAAACAAGTCTGAGGACCCCTGGTTTGTCTAAAAGCAGCGCTATATAAATAATAGTTACTACTTATTTCGTTTGAGTAGATCATATTTTATGCTCTAAATGCGTGCACAGTTTAAGGTTCAGGTTGAGATCGAACTAGCAGCCTTCATTTAGCCAAGTTCGGTGGCACGTCCCACATATGTTGGGAAGGTCAACCGCTTTATTTAAACCCAAATCAGACATGCTTTTCCGTCGGTCAATGAGCTGCATCATTTGAATCCCTTCCTCCCGGCGGTGATATAGCACTGCCTTAACCTCTGAAAGATTAGGCCCAGGCTGGCCTGAAGTAAGATTTTCATAACAATGTTAGACTAAAAGGCCCACCTTAGGGTAGCCAAAATGCAAGACAAGCAACCGGCGACAACTTACCTGAACCTTCTTGATTTCAGCCATTCCTTCATGGGTCACATTCCCCATCTTGTAAAGTTGCGCCTCCTGATTGTCAAGATGACTCCTTTGCTCATTCTGGTAATGGGCTAGTCGTTCTATATTCGAACTGAAATCGGCCAATTTAATGCGATCTATGACAGCCTGAAGACGTGTCTCCAAGTCCTTGCCGGCGGCCCGGAGTTCACTGGCCCATTCCAGATCCTGAGCCATATTGACCTGACCAATCTCTTGACGCACCATGCGAGCTATTTCATGCCATTCCCGACTCATCTCCTCATCCACCACACCAGGCTGGAGAGAACGGAGAGACTTCATCCAGTCGTCGAGTTTGCGATTAATCTTGGCCACCTCACGCTGCACCAATATGCTGTTGTTGGCACTGTTGCAGCTGTCCTCGTCGACCTGATTTGCTGCTGCCGGCAGTTGGGACCTAGTCGCGAGGGTGATTCGTGCGATCTCCTTTGCCATCTGTCCAGCCTTGTCAATCAGACTAACCTCCCTCTCAATGGTCGGCCTTGAGAATCTCGTCTTCAGCTTTTCGGCACGCCTCTGGAGTCCGCCCAGTCCCTGATTGGCTAGTTCGGCAAGGTCGAGTCTATCGATTTCTGCCTCTACTTCATCCGTTCGCTGTAGCA